CCTTGGTAACATTATCCGCAGACACCTGATAAATTTCCACATGTATGCAGATGACACCCAACTATCTCTCTGCCTCCACCCTCAACTCCAGGACTACTAGTGTCCTGACCGACTGCCTATCCGACATCAAGTCCTGGACGAGGGACAACTTTCTCCAACTCAACGTCAGTAAGACTGAGGCCCACCTGATTGGCTCGTGCCAGCGCCTCCGCACCTTGGGCGCTGGCAGCATCAGCCTCTACGGCTGCACACTCAACCTCACTAAGCCAGTCAGGAACCTGGGTGTCTTGTTTGACCCTGAACTGTCCTTTCTCCCCCACATCCGCACCATGACCGGTACTGCCTACCACCACCTCCGCAACATTGCCAGATTCCGCCACTACCTCACCCCTCAGGCTGCCAAAACCCTCACCCACACATTCGTCACATTAAGGCTCAATTACGGGAACTCCCTCCTCATCGGCCTTCCCAACTCTTCCCTTCACAAGCTGCAGATCATCCAAAATTCTGCAGCTCGTGTACTCTTGCGCACCAGACTCTGTGACTCCATCACTCCCACCCTCACCCGACTGCACTGGCTCCCCATTCCCCAGAGGATCGAATTCAAGATCCTTGTCCTCACTTTCAAGGCCACCCATGGTCTTGCCCCCTCTTACCTCTCTGACCTGCTGACTCCCTACCAACCTGCCTGTTCCTCTCCGTTCAGTGGGCTCCGGCCTGCTCCATGTCTCCCGCCCGACCCACCCTACCATCCGTGGCCGGGCTTTCAGCCTCTCTGCCCCCACACTCTGGAACTCCATCCCACAGTCCCTTCGCCTCGCTTCCTCCCTTGTCTCCTTCAAGACCGATCTCAAGACCCTCCTCTTCGATCGTGCCTTCGGTCGCCCTCCCACCTTTCTGCCTTCCCTCACCCCTACACCACCCCTCCACCATGCTCGGGCCCCGACACCTGACTTTTCAGCACTTTGGGACATCTTCCGGACATGAAAGGTGCTCTATAAATGTAATTTTGTTGTTGTTGAAACTCAGTTCAACCATAGTTTGCAAGAACAAAAGAAACTGACAGTTGCACAAGATAAACTAATAGTTTGAGGTCAGGGGGAGAAAAAGTTTGGCTGTTTCATAAACATGGGGGCATCAAACTGATGCACATAGTTTATAAATAGAAAAGAACCTTTGATAAACGTCTTCCTGATTGAAAGTACTGCATACAACAACTGGCAAAAGCATTCCATATCAGAAAAATGCATTGCAAATGAAGCATAATTAAGGGCGTAATTGTAATAAACTGACATTTCAGAAGCTTTCATCTACTCAGAATATACTAACATCAATCCGCTGGCTGCCCCCACACTTCCTCCAGTGTTTCAGCATTCTCTTTTTACAGCTGGTGTATTAAGATTATCAATTTATTTTGCTGAGCAACCCAAAAATAGCAACTACACAGTTACGATACACCTGAGTGCAAGCAAAACATCCCCAATTTCTTTTGCAAATATGTCAGAAATCCTATATGCACAAATATGAAAACGTGTACATGTCTTTAGCTAAATCTCACAATCAGAGAGCCATCCATTAATTGATTCTTCATGAGCATTGCACATGAATAGCTCTTTTCTTTTTCTTATACATTATCTACTACTTTGTACTGGAGGAAAAAACAATGATCCATTGATGTGCATTCGCCCACAAAATATACAGTTAATTCACCTTACAGTGTATTTACAGGGTTCTCCATCCCACATTCCCTTTGGTCGCTCCCTCCTTTGCCTCCTTCAAGGCACGCCTCAAGACCCTCTTCTTCGACCGTGCCTTTGGCCAGTCTCCTAACCTCTCTGCCCTCCACCTTCCCTGATCTCAACCCCAACACCCCCCTGCCCCGCTCCTCCTCTCAGGTTCTAATCTCTGATTGTTCAGTGCCTTGGGTGATGTGAAAGGCGCTTTACAAGTGTAATTTTGTATTGTATTCTGCAAAGTCCTTTGAAGAAGCCTTGAAGATGTGATAAGGCGCTATATCAAATGCAAGAAATATTATTATTGATACACCTCCAAGTGATTTGCAGGTAGCTGCTGTAAAAGCATTGACTGCATTTAAAGGCAAATGTGGTAGCTTTTTACACAGGCAAGATTACACAAATAGGATTGTTTTTCAGGACATCAGGAGAAACTCCTTTCTCTTGTCAAACTAAATCATGGGAATTTGAATAAAATAAAACCTTGGTAAAAATGTTCATCTGAAAGAAAATATATCTGACAATGTAGTGCTTTCCTAGTACTGTATTTGAGTGCCAGTCAAGACTGAAATCCTAACTTGGAATTGGAACTCAGTCTTCTGATCCAGAGACGAGAGTCTTAACAACTGACCCAAACTGATACCCAAGAGAAGAAGCTGAGATACCATTCACTGCAGATTTTCTGTAGTTCATTAGGGTTACCTTTCTAAAATGTCCAATATTTGCTTTCTTTGCAAACACCCTTTTAAATCTGACTCCAAAAAATACTTGCACATCTAAATTGAATGTGAAACACAATCAATTATTTAAACTGGTTTGGCCTTATAATAAACACTCGATTCTCAATGAATGTCACCCATCTCACATGATGCTAAGAGCAACCAACCACAGCTAATTGCACATTTCCTGAATTACAGATGTCTTAAATTCATACGTAAAGAAGGTCCATGTTACATAACAAATCCCGAGTAAATTCAAAATGAAGCTGAGCAACTGTATAATCGATTTGTGCAAAGTCCATTGAAAAGTTTAAATTGAAAATCTGTCGTTGATAATGTCAGGATCAGATATTGGCTTTTGAGACTCTTCTAGGGCCAGTTACTTTGTACTGCAGCCAACAAACCAGCCAACGTACAGTCAATGCTTTTGACTGTACCTTGGGAAAGTAAAAGGTAATCAGTATGAAAAATCTGGTAACGATCTATATACATTGACCATTTGTTGCAGAATCGCAACGCTGGTAAAGATTGGAACCCCGGGGACCTGTTTAGCAATGCACCAAACACCTGAAGTCAGCAGGATTAATGAGTGGAGCCATCCTGATTGCAGATTAGTCAGTGCAAAGAGATAAATCAGAGAGTAACATTCTCTCATATCACTCGTGTCTAGACCTGCAGCGACTTGGGTAAGAGTTAGTTAACAAGCTGTCCTACTCTTTTGCTCAGAGAGTATTTGTGGTAAGGGAGGAGCAAAACTCTCATTTTATTTCAAATAATAACAGTTAACCTAATAATACTCTGAACCCCCTAACCCCCGCCCCACCCCAAACACAGGCATTCAATTTCTGCAAAATGTCCCTATACCATATCATATTTCCATGTTTGTAGAAAATGAAATCTACTTATAAATTCTGAAATCACTATAGTTAAATAGTTAAATGATTTGACTTTTTTTTAAAATAGTAATAATCCTTGCTTTTTTTATTTTCTATTTTACTATTTATGAATCATTTAAGTTTTTAGTGAAATACACTTTCCAGTTTCTACATTGTGTGTGGAGTGGGCTGCTTACCGCAATCACATGATAAATAGTCAATTGATTCATTTTTTTGTATGGTGCATAGTGTAACTAGGAACGTTACAACAACAACTTGCATTTACTACAGATGTCGTCTTTAAGTAGCATGTTTTCCTAACATTCCCTGCGTTTTTAAGTGTTTCCTTTATGGGGAGTTTAAGGAGTTTTCAAAATGATGAAGGGCTATGATAAGGGAAAGACTAAAGGATAAATAGAATATTTAAAGGTATGAGAAAATAAAGCAAGAGAGTGGGATTAGATTAGGTGCAGAGAAACACCAAGATTGACTCAATGGGCTGAAATGGCCCATTTTTATTCTGTGATACTCTATCATTTTATGATATTGATGTAAACAGATTTAAAATAATGAGGGGGTGATGAGCTCCATTAACAGCACACTTTAAAATTGATGCAATTAATAGATGTTTCAAGTACCATGTCACACCTATAGTTCAGTGGTAGCACTCTTGCCTCCGAGTCAGAAGGTTTTGGGTTCAAACCCCACGTCGGACTTGGAATCACGTAGTCTAAACCAGCACTCTAATGTGGTGCATTGTCCTCCGAATGAGAAGTTAAACCTAGGTCCCGACTATCTATTCAGGAGGACTGTAAAGATGACCTGGGAATTTTCGTAAGAGAAAGGAGTTTCTCCCAGTGTACTGGCCAACAATCCTCCAAATAAAATTGGTTACTCACTCCATGGCTTGTGGGACATTGCTGTGAGCAATTGGCTGCAGGGTTTCGCCCACAAAATACGCAGTTACTACACTTTACAATTTACAGTGTAGTGTCTTGAGACGTCTCGATGACATGATAATATCAAATGAAAGGATTATTATTATATAAATATCCTTGCAAAATTCCTGCATTTAACATTGAGTGTTTCACAACTGGAGGATGTCTCAAAACGCTTCACAGGATGTTACAGTGAAGAGCAATGACTGTGTGTTTTGTAAGTGAACGTGTTCTTCAAGCATACAACAGTGAAAAATGTTATCTTTTTCATCATGGGGTTGAAATACAAGGCCAATGTGCAGTCTGGAATTGTAAGAGCAATGAGCCTGCTTATCTAAAGAACCCTAGATGAACCATTCTTGAGCTCCAATCAGAAAAGCACAACATAGGAACAGTTATATAAAACTACAATAAAACTACCTCCTTTCCAAGCGCTCACTGCGTAAATTAACTAGTGAAATGTTACTTTGAAGCTGCACCTCACTGTCTCTTCTTTGAAGACAATAATTGAATAATTGAGGGTGATTTGATTTACATCAACCTACAAATTTGAAGAACCCTAACAAACTATTTACGAGTGCAAACTGAAAAAGCATTGCCTAACGGTTATACAAAGGTTATACAACGTGTAATCTTTTCCCCCTTGCTCTCCTTTTGATTCTGTAGCATCTCTTCATATGTTCCACTTAAAATTATTGATGCTGTTGCACAACATGGAATAAATAGTGTACTTACATTCGGTGTACTGCTGCAGCTGAGCAAACTCTGCTGGACTTAGGATAATCCACTTTCCATCACACATTTTCTAAAAAATCCTTCTTAGCCTGAATCGGCACTCATGAAGAGAGTACAACCAATCCCAAAGTCAAATGCCTCTAGAAAAATATATCCCCAGAAGACATAGCCTCCTGATTGCAATTGGCGGAAGGGTTTGTGGAAGGCTGTTTGATCTAGCTGCCGTCTCTTTACATTTGTTTGCGGACAACACCAAGCAAGCTTCTCTTCACAAGATGCTTCTCATTATCGCTTCATTACTGTCTCCTGTGATTTGTTTCATTAACAGACTCCCTTGAGGAAAGTCCATTCATATTTTCAAAGGAGCATGAATCACGGCAGTTTGTCAAACGTGCTGCAGAAAAGGAAAAAAATATCAATGAGTTTAAGGAAATCCTCTTTAAAGTCACATCAACCCCCTGATTTTCCACAGTGAAGTACACATTGCAGACAAATTGAAATATTACCTGAATATTTTAGTTCCAATCTCAAATGCGATTTACTTCTTGTCACTGATCAATCACACAATGCCAAGGTCTGCACATCCCACGGATTAATAATCCACTGCTGCAACATTTTGCAGTGTTTTGACATTCTCATCCACCAGCACAACATTACAAGAACAGTCAAAAGTGGATGTTACTTAAAATGAACCGTAGACTACACAATAGATGAAAATGACAAAATAAAAAAATTCCTACATATCACAAAGCACCTTTCACGTTAGGAGGACATCTCAAAGTGCTTCCCAGGATTAATGCGTCTTGGCTTGGTATTTTGTAGTCAAACTATAACGATACACAGAAGCAACAATAAATAGTCCATGAGAAGCTCAAGGCAGGATTTAAATCTTGTGGTTAATAAATGTTGCTGTTGTGTTGATTTTCTAGAATAATTTGAGCTTCGCTCTTCACGTCTGTCAATAGAATGGCTGTTTCATTATTGCTTTTTAATGCAAACCCAATGTGTACTTATTAAATAACACAGCAAAGCCATTTTACCATCTTCACAATAACACTGTCCACTTTAGATGAGAGCTTTAAACATGCAGGGGAATATTAATACCAATACCAAAGTATTATTATCCATTCAATACTTAACATGTTCACGGAAGCAGCAGTTTATTTAAGACAAACTTTTGTCTAAACTATATTTCAACGAATGATTGGTGTTTCAACTATTAGTTGTATATATAGCTCAAGTAGTGAGGGGAGCATGGAGTACAAAGACTTTGCACAGCTGCCAAGGAGGTGTATGCAAGAGACTTTCTGGATACTGTTTGCATTCAAAGCATCAAGTCGATGCTTTGTTTATCTCATGATCTCATAAAAGTGCTGAAATTGTCAGTTAGTCAACTTTGAGATCTAAATTTGATCTCAATGGATACTGTTTCTTTTGTCAGACCAATAACAGTGAAGCCAACATTGGCTTGGCTTGCTCAATTGCTACTGGCGGCTGGCCTCAAGTCCCCTTCATGCATTCTATTTATACAATTCATGTACAGTACAAAGTGGTTGCTATTTGTTTAGACAGCACCATTTTCAGGTGTGCTCACTGTTGTGGTTGCCGAGTGGTCAACTGAGGCAGAACATTTCCTTCTGGCAGCGTTTCTGAGGCTGGAGTTCAGAGAATGACGTTAGACAGACAAGTAGAGTACTCGAAAACAGAGGAATGGATTCCCCATTGGGGGTTTCCAAGATGTGTTGCTTTTCAGAATGGCTGGGTTTATTTGCAACTTCAAAAACATTGACATTCATGTCATCCCTTCGGACTCATTTAGCAAGTTGATGGTGTTTGCATAACACTAATCCATCACGAGATTCTGCTGCTCGCATGGAAAGCATAAGCCATCAACACAACTCACCGATCTCGAGACCACACACAATATAAATAGTTCTACAAGTCTGAGTAGCCAGATAAAAGAAGTGAATTATGGCTACCTTATGACTTAACAGCTGCAATAGGTAACGTACGTAGTCTAGGTTGACCCTCCAGTGGAGTACCGGGTGGGGGAGTACTGCATTGTTGAGGTGCTGTTCTTTAGAGGAGACGTTAAACTGGGATCCAAATGTTCCTGTTCTTCAGGTGAACATTTAAGATCCCACAACGCTATTTGAAAAGAGTTTATTTCACTGGGTGTCTGATCCAATAAATTACTCATTCACCTCATGGCTGTTTATGGGATTTTCCTGAGAACAAAGAGTTGCTGCATTTATCTACAAACATTAGTCACCACACTCACTCTGTGATCGTTTTGAGATTTTTGCCAGACTTGAGATAAGTCCTTTCTTAATTCAGTGAACAAAATGCATTGGCAAGCTTCTTCGCACTGTTTGTAGCAGAGTTTTACGTCACAACCGTGAACATACAACATTTTTAATTTCCAGTGTCAACCCTCATATCAATTTCTATCTCATATGTTTTGACACTCTTAACAAGAAATTCAAAACATATTTCATGCCAGTAAGTCTGCACGAGGCATACATTTGTCATAAATAGCCAACGTGGTCTTAAAATATATTTAGCTGCCTGGCAACAAATTATCAAAATGATTTTCTGAGAATTTTATCTGAGGCTTTTCTGCGGATTGAATGGAGGAGGAAATCAGCTCTGGTTGGACCAACACCTGAATAAACTACACAAATGGCAAACAACAAAGCACTGCAGTTTATCCCCATGTGAGAGGTAGAAGCAAAGCTGAACAATAGTCCAATTTCTTCAAAGAAATCAGAGCAGGTTCTTGGGATCTTGACTAGCATGGATGTCAGCCAATGTTTGTAACTCGTTCATATTTCTAAAAATAAATATATTCCCTCCCATTGCCATCCAAATATCGGACTTTTCAAATCAAAAGGATAAGTCAGTGACTTGATGGTTTCATGCACATCAGCTGCCACAGCAATAAGTTGTATAAACACAGTGTATTGGGTTTTCCTGTAACTTTCAAAAATTATTGGGGGAGATATTCCACTTGGGTCTAGATGTACTTTATTTATGTAAAGTTTAAAGTGTTTGCAAATTCTTAAACACAGTTTTAACTTTCAAACAGGTTTTCTGCAAATGTATTTTCAGAATTACAGGAAGCTGACTTAAAAAACAAGACTAAATTCAACAACTTGCCAATTTCAGCATGCTCTATTTACTGGAAATAGAGTAAATCTGGACCCAGGTGGAATTTCTCCCCTGTTGCATCTAATCCAAGTGATTACCATATGCATTAGAAACTTGAAAAGACTGTCTGATATTTAGACCAGGGTGATTCAATCTTTTGGGTGTTGAGGGCCAGATGCCACACTTAAGAACATCAGCTGGCCGCATAAGCCATATTTTTATTTTTCCCTTCCACAAACATAAAAGAATCATACAGAAATCCTAGGTATTGAATTGTGTGACTATTATCAAAATGATTTTCAGAGAATTTTATATGAGGCTGTTCTGTGGATTAAATGGAGGAGGAAATCAGCTTGGTTTGGTCCCACACCTGAACAAACTACTTTGGGGAGGACAGGTTTGCAGGACTATGGGGAGAGAGCGGGGGAGTGGGATTGATTTGGATAGCTCTTTTTGAAGAGCAGCACAGACACGATGGGCTGTATTTTTCTGTGCTGTATAATTCTATGATTACTTGATAATGATCATCTCAAATAGAAATATATGCATAAAAGCTTTTAAATGTATTACAGGGAAAACACCAGATATCAATCCACATATGGAGGTCCCTACAGAGAATGCTCAACAAAATCCAAACAGGTTAATCCATAATTGCAAAACTAACTCTGAATTCCTTCAACATAGAACCATGACTTGCAAGCAAACAAGGCACTGAGGTTTTCCAGTACTTTCAATAAACAAGTAATCCACTTCCCACTTATGCTGAAATCCTCCATTTTCCATATCTACGTCGAGTTTCCTACTGAGACTCATAGATCTGTAGATTTAAAGTTGCAAAGTACTCCTGCTGTTCGTTGCTTCTCACCAGGTTGCATGAGGTTTGAGGCTGTGTGAAACGTGATGGGGACAGGCGGAGTGGGAGGACTCTCTTCCTGTCACTCTCCGTGCTGCCTCATAGCGCGGAAGAGAGGTGCAAGCCGTGTGGTAAAACAGTTAAGTCGGTTTATGGGCTGGACTAAATCTGTGCCGGTTTGTGGCCCACAGGCTGCCCGTTGGACCACCGCACTGCTCAGACTATCTGGAGAAAACTCAAACTACTTCTATGGTTAACATTAAGCCACTTTGCAACCATACCCTAAAATTTGTTAACAAAATATCTCATTTATTTTATAAGAGCAACTCTATTCACATTTTAAAAGGTTAATAGGTTGCAAATGTATCACTCAATAAAAAAAATCTTCAATTCTCCCTCCCATTCGCACTCTGACTTCTCCATCCATGGTCTCTTACGCTGTTCCAATGATGGGGCCTTACAGGCCTCTGGCCTCGATATTGATTTCAATAATTTCAAACCATAACAGCTCAACTTCCCCCTCCCCCTCTTCTGTGACCATTACCACATAATCTGGATCCCAGACACACGTTTTCTCTCTCCGGTCTGCCTGTTTTGTTGAATTTCTCCCCCACTTTGTTTTGCATCATTAACACCTCTTTAACCCATCATCCCCCTGTCCTCTACCCCATTTTCTCTTTTGTCTTCCTTGTCTCCCCTCTCCGTTAGTCCTTAAAAGCCTCGCCCTCCCAACATGCCCCAGTTCTGATGAAGGGTTTTGGACCCAAAAGGTTACTCACTTTCCTTTCTCCATAGATGCTGCCTGACCTGCTGAGTTGTTCCCAGCGACTTCTGTTTTGATTTTTAAAAAATCTTTAAATGTGGTATCGCGCCTTTCACATTGGGAGGAAGTCCCAAAGCGCTTCACAGGATTTACTGTAACGTGACTGTGTGTTTTATGGGTTAACTTCACACTTTACTTTAGGCCTCAAGACCCTCCTCTTCGACCATGCCATCGGCCATCCCCCTCGCTTACCCCCCCAACCCCACCTCTGGTCTGAAATGCTGTACTCTGTCCAGCGCCTTGGGATGTCCTCCCGACCTGAAAGACCTATACAAATGTAATCTTGTGGTTATTGTTGTTTACTGTAGTTACAACCACTATAGGACAGACACCAAGCCTCGACTGCCAACTGTAATCCCTTCAGGAACGACTGATCACATTGTCATTCCTATAGCCTTCTCAGTAATATTCCTTATTAAACCTCCATTGCCCTTTTCTTACAGCATTAATCAATAGATTCACTCAAATCTATCTTTCCTACGAGTCAAGACTACTGGCAAATTTCACTGTCCCTGAAGAGCTATGGTATAATCTGAAACTTGATACAAGGAACATTCCTACTGCCAAG